CTTTTGAGACAAACCAGACACAGACTGCATAAACCGTGTTGAGTCATTGTAAGGGACCAGCAGTATCTCGGAAAATAGAAAAGGAGAAGTTGAGGCAGATCTGAAGCTCAGCAGCATGTAACCTTAAATGACTTCTGGTTAAGTCTGGCAGAAGGAGCACAAAAGACGAGAGACGGACAAGTGCTGGTTGAAGCAGCAGTGACGATGTCTCTGATCCACAAGACAGCACAACTTATTTTGGAGTTTTGAAGTAAATATGGTGAGAAATGAGAGGCTGTGCTGCTAAAATATGAGACTGAGGCAAAAATAACATTGGCTGTGTCTAAATTCAGTTAATGATACGTCATCTTTAAATTGTATGACTCGACAGGGCCTAAAATACAACCACAAACTTTTTTATTATTATTAAAAAGTCTTAATTCTTTGGATAACACTGGTTTCCCACTATCGTTCAAGACGATTCATGCAAAAGATGAAGTAGAATTAAATATGGGGTGTTTTTTTTCCATTATCTAGGCATTCATTAATAGTGTTAATAAAAACCTCTGTCTCCTTGTTAGTTTAGTGCTGAACAGGGCGTGTAAACTGTGTCTAGGGATATAAAATTAAAACATTGATCCAAAATGAAGTTAAATACTCTGTAGACTTGAGGGGAACTGCAGAGACTGTTGATAATTATCTGTGGTTTTTATTACTACAAACTACTCCTTTTGAATTAGACATTATATGATCCATTTATATCATCAAAACATTTTGATCAGACATATTGGTTTTCTAAAAGAGAAGTAGTTATAATTTAACAATTAGAAGGAAGCCAAAATGCTGATTACACACAAACAGATGTGCACAATCACTGTTATTTAACGTTGAAATAGGAATAATTAAGTTAGGGTGGAACATTCACTCTGTCCGATCCTTAGCCTAATTATTAAGGTAATCCAACATTTACGACTTGGTTTTATTTTGTTCAGCAAGTTTTATTGCCGTTTTGTTTAAATTTGGATAAGGATTAGTAAAAAGCACCAGAAAGTTTATTTTAAATTCTTGCCACAGTAGTATCACACTGTATTTTATGTATTTTATGCTGCATCGTGTGCTCATCACTTACCGCACTGAGAGGGTAAAGTCTCCAGGATTACTCTTACTGGGTCTGGCTAAAAAGCTTCCATCCACTCCTCGAGTCAGCAGGAGGTTTTCAGCCTCCACACCTGTGATGTTTGGGTGAAACCACCTGAAAGAGTAACACAGTAATCAGCTTCAGGGTAAAGTGAAAGATTATATTCAAAACTTGTACTGTATTTCATTCCGAGTCTCTCTCTTTTAACTATTTGGATAATGCAACTAAAAAGGGCATTCCTGAAACTGAAGCCGCACGATAACAACACCTTTAAACTCTATTGTTTCCGGGGGGGGAAATGTGTCCCGCAGCACAAATAAAACACAGAACACGCATCGACCTAAACATTCAACATAATAAAACACAGAAAAGATACAACCATATCAATTTTGATGTGTGTTTAAATCTCCCTTTAGTTTATTGCTCTTTCTCGTTTTTCTTTTCTTAATATTTGAGGCTCCTTTGTGCTTGTCCATCTTTTCTCTCCCATTCTTTTCCCCCCAAGACTATCTGTCTGTTAGGTTGATATCTGCGTCTCTTCCTCCATGAGACTCAGCCAGTGTTTGCTCTGTCTCTGTTCATAACTGTCCTAACACTGCATGCAGTCTCCCTCTATGAGAATATAATACCCCTTCAGTGTTATGTGTACAAGTATTCATTCCTGCTCAAACAACTTCAGTTCAGTACTAATGATCCTTATGCACCAAAACCTCACCTAATATTTGTATCTTATTTTATCTTTAAAAAATGTTAATTCATGTGTAATGCTTGACAACACTGCTGCTTTTACAAAATATTTTCCCAATTTGGGATGATTACAGCATCTATCTATGTATCTATCTATCTATCTATCTATCTATCTATCTATGTAGTTACTTTGCATATGCACTTTGATATGAAATAATCAACACTTAAATAGGACTTTAGTTACACCTGGAGTAAATCCACAAGCTACCTTGGACTATTCAAAGGAATTAAATTAGCTGCACCTTTACCAGCTTTGATAAACACATTATAGCATCAATTATTACAATCAAAACATATCATATTATTCTGAAATGGGCCAATCTGCAGAATGAGTACTTTTACTTTTGGTACTTTAGGTATACGTTGATGCCAATACTTTGGTACTTTTACTTAAGTAAGACTTTGATTGCAGGACTTTTTCATACACTCTGATACTTTACTCAAGTACACAATCTGAGTACTTCTTCCACATCTGCCGGTGTATGCTAAATGAAAGGGTCTTTAGCAAACTAGCTATTCAGTTTTTTTTCCAGAACCGTCGGCTTACTCGGAGCTTGTTTACGGACCCCCATACAGCTGAGTTAAGTTAAAAGTTAGCTAGCTCAGCTAACACATTTAGTAGACATTGTTTTCCAGACAGCCCCCCCTACCCCCCTCTTTACCTCCGAGATGTCATTTTTTCGTTCCTCACTTCCTCGCTGGCAGTTAGCAGGAGCTACAATTAGCTGGCTAACGTTTCCCACCGTTTCCTCTTCAATCACAGAGTAAAGTGCTTCATCGGTTTACACCCGGTCAAAACGGGCACCGAAATCCAGGCATGGAGACTAAAAAATGTGTATGCGTTACAAAAAGAAAAGTCTTTAGGCCTCGGCCCCGGAGACTTCACAGCTAGTCGATTATTGGACGTCACCAAAGATGCGACAAAACAGAGGGTGCGCGGATTTTTTCCACCCTGTGCGGCCGTTCAACGCTGCCACTTCCCCGCTTTTCAAAAAAGCTACAGAGCTCGGCCCGTCCGGCAAACAGTGGGACATAAATTAAAGAGTCCTATCACTTTCTCTCTTGCGCATGCTCATTGACACCCTGTTTTATGATTACAGCGGCACAAGCGGTACAGCGGTGCGCAGCATCTCTGGAGCATTCGCCGCTCTAGCGTCAAAAGCGAAGCATTCCGTAGCCCACCGCATTGACCGCACAGATCACGTGATCACATAACCATACCATCACAAAAAGTAGAGGAGGAGATAAATGTCTAAATGTTCAAATGTCAAAAAACGAAATGTTGGTAATAATTGTACAATTTAGCAGTGGTGTAAGTGCCAGATATGTTAGTTAGATACCTTTATGGACAAAAATAAAAGTGATTACATCAAAATAAATCTATGATCTTCTCTAGTATTGTTAAGTCTATGTCAGATGTGGAATATAACTTAGTTCAATTACTCAAGTTAGATTGTACTTTAGTTAAAAACAAAAGTAAGCTCCCTGTTTTTACTTAAGTGTTTCCATGTTATGCTACATTTGCAATTACATTTTACTTTGCTCTATTTTTCTGACAGCTATAGTTACTTTTAGTACTTTTCCCCCTTCCTGTGCAAAGAAAACCATGTGCATTTCTTGACATGCTGATTTTTATTTTAAATATTTGTGTTAAACTGAAGGCTGAAATGTTCCTTCATGGGTTGAGAAATAATTATGCATCTTAAGCTAAATACACTTTAAAACCTCCTCTTGGGTCAGCTAGAAAATGCATCGTAACAAAGCTGAAAACAGGGCTGTTTTTGTCTCATTTTGAATCTCTTACAGTTGCTCCTTTAACATCTGTCCATGCTCTCTACCTATAATAAAGCCAAATAAATAATATAATGTAGGCTATTGCTGTAGATTCAACTACCCAAAAATGTGTACATGAGTAAAAATAGTCCTAGACAGCTTTAGCAGTGAAATGCAAGCAGTAGAAATCAACCATAGACACATACGTGGAACATTTTAATGGATAATTATTACTTTTACTTGAGATATTGCTGATAGCCTATATTTACAAGCCTTTCCCAACCGTTATGTTGTGTTCGGGTCTCCCGTGACCCATTTCAAGTTAAAATTATATAATAACTATGCTCTAGTTTTTTTTATCGGAACAAGGCTTCATGGTATCCTCCGCAACAGCTATATAAACACTACAAAACTGATTTTGACAATTTTAGCCAAGTCTGAAGGTCTCTAAAAAAAAAGTGTATAATTTGGTGTTCAGGTCTGGGAAGACCCAGCACAGCATTGTTTTGGGTGACTCGGGGTCAGATTTGGCCCAATCAAGATTCATCTTTGACTTTAGGCACCCCAGCCCCACTTTAACAATCATTTAAAACTTTTTGGGGGGAAATTGTATCATATATTAGTCTATTGTCAGATAACATAATTATCCACTGTCTTCACTAGGGAATATAATGAGTGAATTTAATCACATGTTTTACTTAAATATGTGGTGTAATGTGTTGTGGGGCCATACAATAAAATTACAACAGGATTTTACGGTTATGAATGCATAATAAGTTAGTTATGATGTAGTTAAAACTATATTGGATGATAGTCATTCTTTTTGAATGTTTTGGACTGAGATAAATCATGGGTCAAAATTGACCGCGAACACCATGAACGGTAACAGCTTTCGAACACAACACAAGGGTTAAGTAAGTTGTAGAGAAGTATTTTCAACTGTGGTATAAGTTTGTTTGGTATGAATATGAAATGGTTTGAGTACTTTTTCCAGCATCCAGAGGTAGGAGAAGTACTCAGATCTTGTACTTTAGTCAAAGTAGAAGTACCAGAGTGTAGGAAAGTGTTGTTTATATTTCACATGATTAATCCAAATCTGCAAAGTAACTAAAGGTATTAAATAAATGTAGTGGAGTAAAAGTACACTTTTTTGTGGGGCAGAAGAGCAAAGTAGCAATTACATTGAAATACTGTTAAAGTAAAGTACAAGTTTCTTAAAATTGTACTTAAGTACAGTTCTTGAGTGAATGGTTACTTTACACCACTGTGAATGTCCGAGTTGTGATGATCTTCTCTAAACAGGTGAAGAGTCACTACATTTTGACAGCACACTCTTACATTTGGCCCTCTCCGGATGCCGTTTAAGCCTGTACGTGGCAGTTAGAGAGCAGTACACAGCAGCCGATGCTGGAGCGGCTAACGTTACTCCCCGGCAACAATTTCACTCATACCGTCTGACATCTTGCACTCTTACAGGATACACTGAAACAAGGAGTGTTCTCTACATCAACAGCTTTATTGTGAAGCTTTCTATACAACCCTTTGAAACATGTTTACCGTGTCGGAGCTGGTTGTCTTGCTGGCCGTCCTGTCCTCCACTGCGTCCGGCTACTTCGTTAGCATAGACGCCCATGCCGAGGAGTGCTTCTATGAGCGGGTCAACTCCGGCACAAAGATGGGCCTCATGTTTGAGGTAGCCGAGGGAGGCTTCCTGGACATCGATGTGGAGGTGAGATGATAAACCAGCCACCTAATGTGGAGGAATGTGTTTTGTTTTTTAACTTAAACCTGATGCTCACATACAAGGCCTGTGCTAGCTAGTGTTAGCTTCCGCAGTCTCTCTGTGTAACGTCAAGTGGACTAGTTGCAGTCCAGTTGATGGATGTTAACTTATTGTAATTCAAAGTTGAATAACAAAAACATAATATCTTATTATTCGGTCCGTTTTCTTTTACCTAAACCCGAATATTGTAATTGAATGATTCATTAGGATACAGGAAGTGCAACATTAGCACTATGTCCGGCTTAGTTATGCTAGTATTGCCGGACTCACTATGTAGCCAATAATGTATTTGAGTATAATCCAAATAAAACATGTACTATCATCTTTAACTTATTTCTTTGAAACAGGTGCTATGGTATAACTTGCAAATGATGGGTTTAATGTACACAGATCTTGCTGCCATATGTTACAAGTGTGCTCTCATGCAGCAGTGATTTTTACTCACATATTTTGCATTTTCCTTCCAGATAACAGGGCCTGATGGTAAGCAAATTTACAAAGGCGACAGGGAGTCAAGTGGGAAATACTCTGTGGCAGCACACATGGACGGAACCTACAAGTTCTGCTTCAGCAACAAGATGTCAACCATGACACCCAAGATTGTCATGTTCACGATTGATATCGGAGAGGCCCCTAAAGGACAGGACATGGAGACAGAAGGTACTTTAGGGGTGCATGTTTTGATTTATGCCTGTGAAGAGAGAAATTAAGAAATTCCATATGGCATTATGTCAAGCCAGATTTTTAAAGATCATCCAGCGTGCAAAACCACTTGTTTCTTTTTCTGCTGACCATGTGTCACTGTTTGATAGTTTCTTTCCCTTTTTTTGACTTTATTTTGGGCACTCTGTTCCTCTTCGTAGGTGGTGAAAGCTGGGATGGTAGGGCACAGGGCAAAACTGCTGTTGTGAAATAGACTTTTGAGTTTGTGATGCACTGCAGAGTTTTCTCTAACCAGCGTTGTTTTGTAGCTTAAACTAATATTGTGCATTCCATAAACGCGTAGGAAGTTTTATTGTTTGTGAATGGCTTGACTATTTGCACAGTAAGAACATGTATGATATAAAAAATGTCTCTGGTGATGGCGCAGCATCACCTGCGACATACATCACAATGACATCCGTTATGCATGTACTGCATACCTCATGCATGTATTTTTGTGTGCACATCAACTGTGTTCTGGCCCTTTTTCTGATGATCACTTTTACCTGTTTCAGCGCACCAAAACAAGCTGGAAGAGATGATCAACGAGCTGGCGGTTGCTATGACGGCTGTAAAGCATGAGCAGGAGTACATGGAGGTTCGAGAGAGGATACACAGAGCAAGTGAGTCTAGAGCCAATTACACTGTGTAGAAACAGATTGTAAATGTTTGTTTTTATATCCTGAACCCGTCTTCTTTTCTCTTTCTAGTCAACGACAACACAAACAGCCGAGTGGTGCTGTGGTCGTTCTTCGAAGCTCTCGTTCTGGTGGCAATGACACTCGGACAGATTTACTACCTGAAGAGATTTTTCGAAGTACGGCGAGTGGTTTAGTGCGGTTAAATGATCCCTCTGTGTCCTTCACTGATTTCTCCAACACCATGACAGTTATTTACACTCTGGAAATGAGACCGGCAGATTTGAGTAAAGCCTAAATATGATTGGATCTCAGAAGTTTTGTTCACCTGTTACCTGTTTGGTTCCTTCTTTATAAATGTAATTAGTGTTTGTTTGGGACGAATGGCCAAAAAATTCTGGGATAGATGTCATTTCATTAGTTATAACTTTTTGTGTCAAATATTTTTCTGTCCAATATTGTTTTATATTTACAGTTAAGTACAAATTACTTGCCGATACAGTTTTACCTATGTGAATGACTGAGGCTCATCATTTTAAGTAACGACAGTTTGAAAAGACTTAGATATGCACATCAATTGATTAATTTAAGGATCCACATTAGAAGCACAGGGGTGTGCCTCAGTCCAGGATCAATACATGGATAAATGTGAGATTTTATACTGGAGAATTTAAATGGGACCCTTTCAAGTGATAAAAATGACACGCATGAAAACGCAAATCATTTGATGTTTTTTTTTGTCTGAGATGCAGAAGGTTTTGTTTGCAGCATCTATGCCAAGTTAGACAATGTACTGGCAGATATCTGAAATCTGTACATTGGGTTTATCTCTCAAACAGCAAATTGCACTCCTGATAAATGCATCTAAATATCTGAAGGATTTACACTGCAGCTAATCATTAAGGAAAACTAAAGCTTCTAGCTCGGTCTGTTGATTCATGGCAATCCACGCTGTGGGGAAGGGGGCTTCAGTGGACACCTTTTGCAGGGAAACTGTGATTCCCTGCGTAGTTCAGAAAATGGTAACAGTTTCTTGGCCTTGATTTAATTTTTGAACACCTACATTTGAAAAGTTCCACTTAGCTGTAAGACCTTGAAGAGCTAAGGCTGTGTGATTTTAAACTGAACTACTTGGAGTGAAACTCCAAGCAAAGTGTGGAGGAACACTGAGATGACATGTTACATGTTGAGGGTGGGTGGGTGGGTGGTTGGGGGTTCTGACACCTAATGACTGCTGTGTGCTTTAGTTGCTTCTACTATAGTTCTTTTGTTGGGGTTAGGGATTTTAAATTATATGATTGTATACAATTTTGAACTGTTTGTTTTTCCTGGAGCATATCCTGTGACATGCTGCTGTGTGGCTGATGCTTTTCAAATTAATATCTTTTACTTGTTTATTTCCCCACCAAGGTAAAAAAAAATGTACGTCCAGGACAGTAGCTTCACATCTAGTACACATCATGCATGTTGTGTGTCACAGAATATGCTCCAGTTTTTTTATTAAAACAATCTTTGGTGAGCTCTGGCAGGTAAACTGCTCTGGCAGGTAAACTGCTCTGTACACAGTCTCTCCTTTTTGTGATTACAACAACTAAATCTGATAAATGGATCTGTACAAATGTAGAATGGTTGTCTGTGGAAAAAAAGCCCCAGGTTTCATAATAAAGCCAATATTCTGTACAATTACTTGAGTGTCTTTTTTAAACCGGTGGTGGTGGCGTCTTTAAGAAAGTTTGAATGCAAATGTGAGGAATTAAAATAAAAATGTACATTAGACAGTTTTACATCCCACAGCCTTTTAAAGAACATTAATTGCTGAATTTCCTTGTCGTAAAAGCTGTTACTGAACTATTGTTGATTTGATTCGTTTTACCTGCTATGACAAGTCTAAATGTCTGCTCAAGGCACCAAGAATCTGACTCGACTTGTTGAAGAGTGCTCTCATATGTAAATGATACTATACAAACAAATGCTCCTCTTCTACCTTTTAAAGTTGAAAATGAATTCCAAAGTAATTGTGTTTTTATATAAATTGAATTATCGTTAAAAAGTTGTCCAAAGCAAGATGCAGTATTAAAGCATAATATGCATCTGAAGTCACAAAAATACCAAGGCACTCCATAATGAATACTACCGGGTAGATTTTCAAAAAATACTATAATTTTAATTAATTATTCACTGTCATAGACAAACGCATCGAGTACTTTTCAAAAGAATATTACTGAGGGATGTGTATACAGTTGAACTACAATCACCTTTACAGTCTATGACTATACAAAAATACAAAAGAAAATGTAATTAAAATACCCAAAAGTAAAATAATAAATAAATAGGAAGATATTACTTCTTCTTAATTAATGTAGATGGATGTCTATTCCATCCATGATGGCTATTTTACAGTAAAATAAAAAATGGAAAGAGATACATGGTTACGCGGAACGATTCTCGTGACACCGCTTCAGTTCCCACCCGGTCTGTAAACAGCTGAGCACCCGGAAACAGGAGCAGCGTGGAGAGTCAGCCCAGCGGTGGCTACCAACTTTAGCATAAAACCGTGTTGAATGTTATATTAACAACATGGATAACACCACAGAGGGGACGTGGGAGAGTTTACCTGTAAAACTCAACGAGGGGATTTTACAAACGCTCGAGGAAGTGAAGTTCACGCACATGACACCTGTCCAGGTAACATGAACACTTTAAACCTGCCTCTCTTTAACACTGACTGTATGCTTCAACAACACTGATCAGTAAATACATCTGATTAATATTGTGGTTTCTTTCAAGGCTGCTTGCATCCCGCTGTTCATGAGAAACAAAGATGTGGCTGCTGAGGCGGTAAGTGTAACGAAATACATTCATCTAACTACAAATGATAGCCAAACTCGTATGTATTAGTCACTGCCGATTGAGATTAATAATACCAAATATAAATTACCTAATAAAGTATATATTTTAAAGTTTAAGCTATTTAAAAGTATATAAAGTAATGTCAATTAGCCATTTTCTTTGCACAATTATACATAGCTCTGTAAAGTGAGTATTTTTACAGTTTTTACTATAAGTATATTTTGATGCTAATACTTAACCAGTGTACTTTGACCACTAGTTATTCCTGTTTTTTGTTTTTGAAAAAGTACAGTCTATTAAATGCTACTTACCCTCTGCAAAAAGTTTCAAGAATTTCGCGAATATTTTTCCTCAGTACTACCTGTGCAGCTCACTAAATGTTGTACCATTGCAGGTGACTGGGAGCGGAAAGACTCTGGCTTTTGTCATTCCTATTATTGAGCTGCTCCTGAAGAGAGAAGAGAAGCTAAAGAAGATGCAGGTGATGAGGAAACCAACGCTCAATACTTATATTTACCTTCCACCTGTCACTGTAGAGCTTTCCAGTCTCTTAGATGCTCAGTCTTGTTGTACATGTTGTTTTCTGCAGGTCGGCGCCCTGGTCGTCACTCCCACCAGAGAACTGGCTCTTCAGATCAGTGAAGTGATGAAACAGTTCCTTCAAAAATTCCCACAGTTTACGTAAGTACAACATCAAGTGGGAGTCAAAACGGGAGAAAATGTACCTTGTAAATGGTATTCAAGTAGTCCTAACTTAAAATAACAAATTGCAACCCTTAGAGAAATAACTGTGCCCTCCTCATCATGTTGACCTATTTTGTTTGTTTTTATTAATTAAAATGCTTCTTGTATGTTTTTTCTTTAGGCAGATTTTACTGATTGGTGGCACCAACCCCATAGAGGATGTGGAGAAGTTCAAGGAACACGGGTATGCACTAGATATAACATATTATGACTTTAATAGTGAGGGTCCCTGTTTGCGGTCTTTATGCTAAGCTAATTGGCTCGTATCAACAGACAGGAATGAGAGCAGTATTATTTTCTTCGTCTCGACTGATATTGTGCAGCTTGATCACAATGTTTTTAAAGTTAGACACCAGACAGGAGAATAATCCTAACCCAGTCACTTTAACATTGAAAAAAAAAAAAAATAGCCTTGCAAGTTGTAGGAAAAAATACTTATCTTACCTGTAGATCCAACTAAGACCAGGAAATCCACAGCTACAATCAGGTCATAAAGAAATACAAAAAAAGATTCATCCAAACCCTGCTGCCTTCCATGTTGCCCTGGGAAGTCCAGGAAATCCAACTTGTTCTTGGAACCACTTTTTTACTTTAATATAGGTGCAAAGATTGTCCAAAACGGGTTTAAACTATTAGTTATCTTCTCTTTTACTCCCTTTAAGTCCTCTGTCCGTTTCTCTCCATGCTGTCTTTGTTAGTTCTTTCCCTGACCCCAGCTCACAGGTGTCTGATTGGTCTCACCTCTTTCCCCACCTTCCATTCCTGTTAATAACCTCCCCCCCTTTTGTGACAAGCGTATATATAAAAAACGTCAAACTAGTCCCATTAGAAACAACAAAATTGAACCCTTTCCCCTAAATTAGATACCAAAGAGGAGATGTTGGCATTCCATTGCCAGCATCATAAACCATGAGTGTTACATTTGTGTGTGTGTGTGTTTTAGGGCACACATAGTGATTGCGACACCGGGCCGTCTGGAGGATATGTTCAGGAGGAAGGCTGACGGTCTGGATCTGGCCAGCTCAGTGAAGGGTCTTGATGTGCTGGTTCTCGATGAGGCTGATAGACTACTCGACATGGGGTTCGAGGCCAGGTACTGACTAAATGTGAACTTTTCCCCTTTTTATGGAAGAATAATTTAGTTCTATAACATTTATTTTGATATATTATATCTATTGATATAAATATGTGACCTGCTCTATCGAAATGAGTCGCATTGACCCGAAGACACATTTTGAGTTGTATACACGGTTGGAAAGAGGAGATTCCTAGCTTCTAATGATATCAGGATTGTTGTTGTACTCCAAATATTAAGCAAAATATGTCACATTATATAATGACTGTCACCGAGTCATCATTTTGAGAAAAAGGCCTTTAAAGTTTCCTCTTCTCTGGAATCCATCGATCTGATTGATTATTAGCGGCTAATAAATGATCAAAATAGTACGGAGGGAAAATATTTTCGTTTGGATTACTGGTCTGGGGGAAGCCCGTGTGTGTGTGTGTGTGTGTGTCTGTGTGTGTGTGTGTATTTTTGCGTTTGTGTGTATTGTGTTGGTTTCCCGGGGAAAACTCTCACGAGAAACACCGGCTGTTGTTATGCCTGCTGTGACGTAAAGTTACTCCGTTCTCCGCTTGTAATTATGCCGTTACAAGCTTCAAAGTTGTATTTATCATCTGAATTTGTAACGGACCCTGCCGTGTTATCTATGATTATTATACGCCTTACATTCATAATTTCAGCGAGAGGGAGGGGGAGCGGAAGTGCAGCGTGCGAGTGAGAGCTGTCATCTTCCCTTTACAAGCTTCAAAAATGTATTTATCATGTGATTTTGGAAATAAAACTTTAATATTCTGAAAACCAAGACTTTGTTTATTTAAAATCAAACAAAACACCCGAACCCCGAAAAACTATTTTTTTATGCAAATCCACGTTTATTTTGAAATGAGCCGTCGCGTCTTCCGACTGATTTCGATAGAGCGGGTCACATATATACATGTCATTTAATTATTAAGTATTTTAGGTATTTTCTACCACTGAAAGACTCTTTTTTTGTGTCCAGTCTGAACAACATTTTGGGCTTCCTGCCCAAACAGAGGCGTACAGGCTTGTTCTCAGCGACTCAGACTCAGGAGCTGGAGAAGCTGGTGAGGGCCGGCCTCAGAAACCCGGTGCGCATCACCGTCAAGGAGAAAGGTGTAGCTGCCACCTCTATGCAGAAAACACCCTCCAGACTCTCTAACTACTACACTGTGAGTAACACTTCCAACCTTTTCATCAATAAGCTCCTAATTAAAATGTATTGACATAAAAACTCATGTTGTCATTTCAGATATGTCGATCAGAGAACAAGTTCAACCACCTGGTGACATTTCTAAGGCAACACAAGCACGAGAAGAACCTGGTTTTCTTCAGGTATGATAAACTAAGAACCTTTTACATTTTAAAATGGGTTTCACGAATACATACATAAAGATTTTGTGTACTGACTAAATCTGTTTATTGCTATGTGTGTGTAAATATATTCATTTGTACTGGCTGTGAAAACAAGTGTCCTTAAGGGACATTAAAGGGGACAGGGTGCGTACGGGTGCTGGAAATCCTTGAAAATGCTTGAAATTGTACGAGGTGTTTTCAAGGTTTGAAAAGTGCTTGAATTTTGGGAATGGTGCTTGAATTTGGGATAAAGTGCTTGAAATTGTAAATGCTTTACTTCGCTTTTTAGATTAAAAGAAAATAAAGAAGTCGGAGCGTGCTTAATTGCTTCGCTTTTACATAAAACAGCTCCGCTCCGGCCTTCCCGCGCTATGCGCGTGACCGGCAAGTGTATTTGTTACGTGTGTGACCTGGGCATTCTGAGAGTGATAGATGACAGTATGCCAGGAGGTTGCCGTTTCAACGAGCGTTGGCTAGCAGAAGACAAATACAAGCCATGGCTAAGACGAGGGTCAAGCGAAGCCCAAGAGTAGCCTCCTGCAAAGTGTGCAACAATAACGATGCGAGAGTCTGCGCTGACGAGCCACACACCACACGAAAGGTACGCCGTAGTAGAGCATTTTAGATTAGGCTATCGTTGCATGTAAAATACATGACACTTTTCTCTGTGCGCGGCAAAACAAGCTCGCCAAAATGGCTTCACTAGTCTGGCAGTATTTTAAGTGTCCGAAAATGACAATAAAATAGCGGTATGCAACGTGTGTGTGAAGCAGAAATCCTGCAGCTCCACCCGCTGTGACGGACCGGTGAGCGGAGCAGAACACACATTAAGAGTTAGACCTAACACACTTAGCTATTTTATCTACCTCTGGAACAAGCTAAACTAGTTATAAATATATTTATTCTTCACTGTCGGGTCGCTCATTACTGGATCAGTGAGCTGCAGGAGATACTGACGGGCTGTCAGGAGAGAGAGAGAGAGGGGGAGAGAGGAAAAGAGAGCGATATCGGTATCGGCCGATACTGATTCCGGCGATCGGCTCCAAAATTGGCGATCGGAGCATCCCTAATAATTGTATATGATATGTTTTATAATGATTGATCATGAAAGTGTTCTCAAAGCTGGTAAAGGTGCAGCTAGTTTGAATGACTTTGTATACTACAGAGTAGCTTGTGAATTTACTCCAGGTGGAACTAAAGTCTGATTTAACACTTGATTATATTTCACATCATTCATCCACATCTGTAAAGTAACTAAAGGTATTAAATACATGTAGTGGAGTCAAAGTACACCATTTACCTCTGACTTGTGTTTACTGCCAACCTAAAAGTACCTCAAAAATAGTAATCAATAATATATTGAAAGGTTATTTGGCTGATTGTTTTATATTGGCTCAGCCAGGTTATATGGGATGCCCAGTCTACGTACAGATGGGTCACTCATTTTGAAATATTAAACTTAGTTTTCTTTTCTAACATTTTTAATTTTTCATCCTCATGTAGAATGCTATTATGAAACACACATTTGGTTTTTTATAGCATAAAGAACATCTGATTTAATGTGAGGTAGGGAAATAATCATTTGAGTATAAGTATGTGTATATAAATATATAATTTACAACAGCTGTAAGATGCTTGAAAAGCTTGAAAATGCACCTTGAAAATGCTTGAAAAGTGCTCGAATTTGACTTTGGAAAAGGTGTAAGAACCCTGGGGGACCTATCATGCAAAATGCACTTTTTGATGTCTCTTGATAAATATGTGTCCCCGGTGTGTAAGGAGACTCACCAAGTGTCAGAAAATAAAACCCTCTTTTCCTCCGTACCCAAATCTCTAAAAACGGGGGTACAACGGAGCTGATCCAGATTTGCGTCCAATATGACGTAATATCGGAAAAGTTGCTGTCAGAAATAATGCCCGACTGTTTTGGATGTAATAGGGTCTTTGTTTACATTAGCAAGCCTCGCTAACACTCAGAGCTAACGCAGTAGTGGAGAGAGAACATGTGTTTAAAAAGCAGGAAATAAAAAAAGAAACTCACCTTGTGGTAAACCCGCAAGAGAAAAAGCTTTTGAGCTCCATACTATTTCAGAAATAATCCTTTATGTGGTTTGGAACTTATGGCGTTTCATCATGGGAGCATTAAACGGAATCTGCTATGTAATTCTGAGCAGGCATTAGCTCCGCCTTCTCTAGCTAAGAAGCTAAGGACCCCGAACCTGCAGTTCTCAGGGCTAAAACAGAGGGATATGAGGGATCTCTAAAATGCATGATCTGTTTGGTATTTTGAGCAAAACACATCATATACATGTTTTTTATATATATATATATCTGAGACTCATATGCCTAAAAATAGCATAATAGGAGCACTTTAAATAAATCCAAATCTGCACAGCAAAAAAACAACTGCTTTTGTCCAATAAGACATGTCCATCAAAAAAGTTGATATTTAGTTAGTGTTAATTTGGGCAATGAAGGGAAAGGAAGAGGGTACAACATATGGTTTCAGACAGTATGGTTTATGTTCTGCAGCGGAATTCAGTTTAAGCCACAACATGTGAAATATTACTGAAGTTTAATTCAAATAAGCTCACTCTGGTTTATAAGGGATCTTTAGACTGCAGCCACGATCAATCAGGCTGGAAAACTGCTCAAACTAAAGGATAGCGGACCAAACTTTCTCACACTAGATATCCAACCAATTATCTGACAGCCAGATCAATGATTGTTCAGGGAAATAATCAGATTCTCTAAAACTGAAGAGCAAACAACAGATCTGGAAGAAATCTGGCCTTATTCTAAAAATGATTGGCCATGAAAAAAGCGTTGAACACCTGCAGTGTCTGTCAGACATTATGCTGTCACATTTATTTTGGTCACATATGGATTTCCTGACTGATCACTTGTTATCTCATCTCCAGTACGTGTGCCTGCGTGGAGTACTACGGTCGGGCTCTGGAGGTTCTGGTCAAGAAAGCAGATGTCCACTGCATCCACGGCAAGATGAAAAACAAACGCAACAAGATCTTTGCTGACTTTCGGGCCCTGAAAAGGTGACACAGCTACAATGAATGTGTGTGTGTGTAATCTTGTCTTTATATAATTTAACATATTGGTAATGTGTGGCAGTGGGATCTTGGTGTGTACTGATGTCATGGCCAGAGGCATCGATATCCCCGATGTTAACTGGGTGCTGCAGTACGATCCTCCCAGCAATGCCAGGTGAGCAAAACGAAGTCTTTGCAAAATACATCACTGTAGAAGTGCTGGTCCTTTTGTGTGTGTCTTAAATGGTTCAGTATTTACACTTGTTGAGATATGCTATGAATTCATAAGCTAAATGTGAGTAGTCATTTTTTAAGCTCTTCTTCAGATCAAGTTTCTATTTTTAAACGGCAGCCTTTTCTTTCTTGTTTTTCCTTCAGTGCGTTTGTACATCGATGTGGACGTACGGCACGTATCGGCAATCAGGGCAATGCCCTCGTTTTTCTGCTGCCAATGGAGGAGGCCTATGTCAATTTTTTGTCCATCAATCAGAAAGTGAGTTCTTTGGAGTTATCTTGCTAGAAACATCACTTGTTATGCCTGCTTCACCCAGGGTAGGTCCTAATATACAGAACATGAATTGAAAGAAACATTTCCTGTTGACAACCAATGATCAAATTGCAAAATCTGAAGTTACTTGAAGTGGACACATGATAATTGACTCGTTTTCTCCTCAGTGCCCCCTCCAGAAGATGGTCCTCTCAGGAGATGTTCCAGATGTGCTGCCCAAAGTGAAGACTCTAGCTCTGGCAGACCGCGCCATGTTTGACAGAGGCATGAGAGCCTTCGTGTCCTACGTCCAGGCCTACGCCAAACACGAATGTAGTCTCATCTTCAGGTCCAAAGGTGAAAACAGCATCTCTACATTCAGATTCAGTTGTGCAGTGTGCATAAAGTACACAGATATAACATTTTGTGCTCTATTTTGTTGTCTAGATCTGGATTTGGCCACCTTAGCACGCGGCTTCGCCCTCCTCCGCCTGCCGAAGATGCCCGAGCTGAGAGGGGATACACTCCCTGATTTTAAGGAGACGACATTGGACACAGACAAAATCCGCTACAAGGACAAGCAAAGGGAGAAGCTGAGACAGAAGTTGCTCCTCGAGTTGAAAGATCAAGTGAAGATCTCGTATCCCAAAAAGAACTTCATCAAGAATAAGTCCTGGTCGAAACAGAGGAGCAAGAAGGAGCGCAGGGAAAAAAGGTCCGCCAAGAGGAGGCGTGAAGAGGTATTTAAAAAAAGAAATCTCTCGATGATCCCTTCAGTGGGCTGGATTTATTTATGGATCTCATGTTTTTCTTTCTCTCTGCAGGGCTCTGATGTGGAGGATGAAGAAATGCAAGAGCTTTTAAATGACACTCGCATCCTCAAGAAACTTAAGAAAGGGAAAATCACAGAGGAGGACTTCGAGAATCAGATATCAGCTCAGATCAGCGGACCAAAGTCAAAACACAAAGCAGGAGCAGCGACACACGAGGGCTCAGGGGGCGAGGGTGTGTGAACAGCTGTGTTTCTACATGTAAAAAGCAGGAATCAAATAAACGTTTGACATGTGTTTACCTTTTTCATGAATGGGTTTTATTGAGTTATAAATAAAGCTTGATGAGTTCGTCGCTGACAGCAGAAGGGGTGAGGACTCCCAGGTCGGTGAAGAGGAGGGTGATGAGGGAGGGGGGGGTGTAGTCGATCATGGGATGCTCCTCTGACAGGTTCTGAGCGCTCCTCAGGGTGTCTGCTTTGTACTGTGGAGACGATGTAAGACTTGTAAAGAAATACTCTTAATGTCAGAACATCAAATAAGTTTCCATTAAATTGTCGTACCTTAAATTTATCGGGCACGTCCTGTTGGTTGAGAGGATAGAGTCGGACAAATTTGAAACTCTCTGCCACCACGTAGAAAGGCTTGTTGTGAGCTTTAGAGCACACGGCCATCTGATAAGTGCCAATCTGTAAAAGTGAATAGTAAGTACAATGTTGATATATTGACCTGAGGATTTCCATGTTGTGTTACTCCATACTTCAGATCCTTCAGAGCCATTACATTTCGGAAGCACCACAAAAATCATCTGAGTCCGTTGTGTAATTAGATCCTAAACATATTTTATTTTTGGAATAAAGTGACATTTTTCTTGATTTTAAATCAGAAATACCTTATTCTGTCTTCTTTAAAATCCTAACACTGACTTCTATAAAGCTCTTATAACAAGTTATTTTTTGTTAGAGACTGGTGGAAAAAATCTAATTATATATATATATTTTTTTCTCACTTTTCTCAACATTTAAATTAGTTGGAATCAGCTCCACCTTGATTGTTATAATAAAAATGTATTCTAGATAATTGATACGTTTGAATACATACATTTCTGTTATTTTATTATTAAGTCAAAAAGGTTTACTTGTTTGTATCGCAAAGCAAGATTTTTCGACGATACAACTATCTTTGGGTTCACCAGCTGGTATCATGAAAGTTTTACAATTTAAATATTTCTAATTGATTCAGTAACATTTTTAACATTGTCATTTATTCCACAAACTCACCTTGTTGATGATCCCTCCGCTCTCAACGACCCCCTCCGCACCAACAATAACTAGGTCTACTTTCTCCAAAACATACCTGTGAAAACACAAACAAACACACTGGATAAATGTCCATGTTGTCAAAGTACAACACTATTTTGTTTTTTAACCTGATGATGAATATATTTACCCTACAGCTGCATCCAGAACTACTGTGACTGGAACATTGAGCTTTCTCAGGGCTTCTGCCATCTGTCGCCTGAGTATAACAAAATACTGATTCAATAAGTGCGTATCCCCTCAGAATAAAAACACATTTACTGGCACTGTTCACTCACCCAGCTGAGTCAGGCTGCGATTCGGTCACATACACAGAGAAGCGCTTCTTCTCAGCTGCAGCTTTTTCAAGGACCCGCAGGACCACTCTGGAGTACGAGTGAGTCAGGATTTTCTGGGGAAAGAGGGGGAAATGTGTCATTACGTTTTCACATTATGTGTGTGCAGTGTACTCTGTGTCGGCATAAATGAAGCTCTGTTCCTACCAACCCACACCCACATGTCTTTCTATAGGTTAATAATGGCCTTCAGTCACAACAGTTAAGTGTTACACCTGCTCATAATACAAGTTTAAGGTCTTTATTGGTATCTACAAAACAATGAGTCATTCCCAGTTATACATGTAACTTGAATTTTGTATGTAACACAAATACGTACAGCTCCGTCTTTGATGAAGGTGTGACAGAGCTTAGCGACTTTGGTCCTGGACAATGAGATCTTCTTTAGAAAAAGTTCTCCTCTCTCCTCCATCACCTTTTTACAGCGAGACAGATCCTGAAAAAGAGACAAAATATTTTGTGATTACATATGTTACAGGCAAAAGGAAATACTGGAAGCCTGGGAGTAGCTGAGTTAGAATAAGAAAGTAGTTACAGACTTTCACACCTTTAAATCAAGCAAACTTGGCCCCATAAATAGCTCTCTTTAAGCAAACAATAAAGAAATCTCAGGTTTTTTTTATTTATTTTTTAATAATGGGGCAACAATTCCAAAAATACCTGAACAATCATCTCTCAACACATTTTTTGAGTATTTATTCATTTACATTTTCAGTTTAATTATTTGCAAATGATATGCCTCGATGTTTGTTGAAAGCCTTTAACATTGCAATGTTATTGTGGTGGAAAATACTAAACTTATTATTATTATTATTATCAATTTTTAGCTTTTTCCTTACTACAATTGACACATTAGTATATTTAGTCGAGACAATATCAGAATCAGCTTTTATAAACCTGCTACAATGAAGACACAGACCATTAAACCATAACTTCCTGGACAAACCCAGCAGGTATTTACTAAGTCTTTCTAGCATTGAATTCTCTATGTATTAGTATCCCAGCAAATGAACAAGGTCAAGGAGAAAGAAGTTCTAACATAGTTAATATACCCTATACTTGATTTGGCTAACCCAAACTGCTGAAGCTTCACATTTTAATGCATTTTGCATCAAATGAGGTCTGTACATTTGATCCCATATTGTCTTATATTGAAATTAGACTTGGAAGCTCTTTATATGGCCAGTATTTTTGTATTTATTTCACATTGAACTGTTAGGCGAGTCAAGGGCACATTCAGCCCAGGGAAGCAGGAAAACAATGCTGAAGAGAGGGGCCTCTGTACTACCTTGCTTACTGCAGACATGAGATGTTGACTGTTGTTTAGGTTGGGAGCATGGAGCTGTCCCAGAGAAGCCTCTCACCTGGTGCTCCAGTGATGTGAGACTAATGAAGCGCAGGAAGAGCTCTCCTCCCGAGGACACGGCCACAGAGGAGTCCACTCCTGTCAGGCAGTCTGTGGCCCCCGTCAGGCTCTCCCTCAGGCCCAGGATGGTTTCACCTGGAGGGGCAGGGTAGGATTTACAAAACAGGTTGTCAGAAAAAAACACAGGATATCTCCAACCCACTTAGTATTTTCAGTGTAGAATTAGTTATTTTACTTAAAAGGTCCCCTATTATACTTTTTTCCATCAATATATTATAGGTCTCAGATATATACAAAACATGTCTCTGAAGTGTTTGGCTCGAAATACATTTACATTTTTTACATTTACATGTCATTTGTTAGACGCTTTTATACATACATTCAGTACTGTGGACAATCCCCACAGGAGCAATTGGGGGTGAAGTGTCTTGTCCAGGGACACAACGACATGCTGACTGCAGTGGGACTCGAACTTGCTATCCCCTGCTTCGAAGTCCAGCACACTATCCACTGAGCCACAGCCTCCCTTACCAAACAGATCGTGCATTGTAGCATCCCATAAACCCCTCTGTTTCAGCCCTGTTTCAAAAGTGCTGATTCTCTGTCTGTTACTGTAGATGAAAATAAGGAGCCACTCCCCACGCCCCTCAGAGATATTTGGTTAAAAAGAACACGAGCAATGGTGCTCTAGGAGGAGATTCAGGTGATAGGGAGGGGGGGGGGTAATTGGCTAATGGTTACACAAGCCAAAAAAATCGTTATGACATCATAAAGTGGCCAAAAACAGATCAGCTCATTTTCAGACAGGTTTTTATATAAATGGACCAGGAACAGGGACACATATTTATGTATAAAAGTCATGAAAATGTGGATTTAGCATAATAGGTGACCTTAAGAATTTGTTTCTTCTTCTTCCAATACTACATACACAAGTAAAAATGATGCTGGCATTAACACACACCTTTATCTCTCTTGAGGAACTCCAGCAGGGTGCGGATAGCGGCCACAGCAGAGGCCATGTCCGGGTCTTTCCTCATCTGAGCCCTGAAATACTCCACCAGCTCTGACCAACAAACAAATATAAAAACACGTTTAATAATCATACTAACCACAACATGGGAGGAAATGACTTAAAGTAAGTAACTTACCTTCTTCGTTCATCCTGACACCTACAAGAGAGCCTTAAAGCTGAAGTCCTAAGTGTTAAAACAAATAACGGTGGATGTTTACTTCAGTCAGCACAAAAAATGACACATGCCAGAGCTGCTGACTCCGCTTTCGTTCAAATAGAATTAAACACAAAATTAAATAAATTCCTTTGTAATTAACAATATCAGCTACACTTCTTAGAATTCTGCCATAAAAAGCCCGGTTAAGTCTGTCTGGAAAGTGTTATTATCACTATCCGCCGTGTTGCACTGTGTTAGCTCATCTGGCGGAGAGCTGCGTGTTGACGTGTCGCAGGGAGATGACGTACACGTTTTTTCTTGCACCGAGCGTCGTGCACTATTTACGTGCAGTCGAAAGATTTGACATACATTTGAGTACTGATGGGTTTTTGATAGAAATATTTCATCTTTAAATGTAGTCTTTTTTGTAAACATCTTTTTATTTTTGCAGTGTCTCATTTATGTTGACAGTTTTATTATGTTTATTGATAAGAAAATGTATATTAAGAAGTTAACATTAGCACAAATACATACAGGAAATGCAACACACACATACATGTAGTAGTAACATTCATCCAAATACATCATATATATATAACTTTTTGGTTCAATAATAGAAACTTTACTCATTTTTTGAAACTGGCACTTTAGGACTTTAGGCACATTCTCAGTCTCGCATACATAATACTACAGAGATATTTGAAAAACACATATCTACTTTAGACAGATACATCTATGTCACTTTCTGCAATCTAGACCCGTCTTTTTTTGTGTCTCTTTTTTGAATGACCATTTTCTATCAAGAAAAATAATCTTATTTTCAGTGCAAACTTAAACATTTGGAAACACATTAATGTATTAATATTGTAGAAATTCAAAATTATTTAAAAATGGTGTCTCTTTGTATATCTAAATTGTTTAATTATGTTTTCTTTAAAAAAATTAAAGTGAAGTATTATCCTGAAATTGACTATTCTGCATTGCTATTTTAAGATAAGATGGAACTTTATTTATCCCTGGGGAAATTCATGCGTTTATAGCAGCAACAGGGTCAGAGTGAAAAACAGGATTAACTCAAGGTAAAAAATAAAGATAAAATAGAATACAAATTAAAATAACACAAAAATTAAAAGTTGAATATAAAATGATAAAGTCATAGTAACTGTTGAAAAAATATATCACGGTAAAACGTTGACCATTTGAATGGACATATACATATTTGGATTGTTAAATATATTTACATAAGTGTGCAGATGTGAGTGCAGGTTACATTGTGACTTTGTAACTTAGGTAAAATAAATTAAAACGTATTTCACCACAGGGCTATTATTACTACTTTGACATTTATTGAAACTACCTGTATTTATATTAATATATTATTGTACTTAATGTGTATTGTACTATATGTTTGCACAAAGTGTACTTTTTCTTGTAACTTGCTCTGTACCTGTTTTTGTTTCTTTCTTCTGTTGTTTGTACCAGTATGTTCATTTTTTGTTTCCCACTGGGCCTAGGGAAACACAATCTTCTGCCCTGTATGGAAAGCAATACAGTACACTCCCACTTATCTTTCTTATGTTATTTACTTAAGATGTACTTCCTCCACGTTTTAAACCAAACTTCTACTAGTTTCGAGCTGTATTTGCTGGATGAGAGCAGTTTCTTTGTTGTGCTCCACACAGCAGGGACAGGGAGACAGATCTGTCTTCATAGTGCAGCTGCAGCCAGCCCCCCTCTCCCTCTGCTTTATCAGGCCGCGCATGCGCAGTGGCTCCTCTGTGCGCTCTACTGTTTGCATTGTGTCTGAACTGCCGGCGAGCTTTAAAAAATATTATACCCACCGCGGCAATGTCGGGCAGGTCGGTCCGAGCTGAGACCCGGAGCAGGGCGAAAGATGACATCAAGCGGGTTATGGCCGCTATTGAGAAAGTACGAAAATGGTAAGAGAGTGAGAGGGAAAAAAGCGGGCTTGGTTATCTAACACGAGAAAGGCTTCGGCTTGTTGGGGGGGGGGAGGGAAGGGGACGGGGGTGAGGGATGAAATTGAAAGAAAAGGATGATTTCTGAACAGATGTACTTACAGCTCAGGTGCACCGGGGCGCACTCGTGCTGCTCACCGCCTCAGCCCGGTGTCTGAACGCTTTGTATCACTCAGATTGTAGCGGTTTTTTCCATTAACGGCAAAGGGTTGAACCCAGAAGCCATTTCGATGCAGTCACATGAAGCCATTGCTGCCCGCTGTTTGAGCTTGAAGCTCGGCGGCGGGTTTATTTAGCACCGAAACCTCCGATAACTGTTGACTTGGACACAATTTGACGACGGCGCTCTTGAGTCAGAGCACTTTAGTCCGTCTGGAGTTTTAAATTAAGCGCTTTGAGTCGCCCTTTAGGTCCAATAGAGAAGAAGGCACGGTGGGGGTTGGGAGAGGGAAGTAGCATGGCTGAACACGTAGTGACTCAGTCTTAACGTTTCACACAAAACACACTTGTATTCACATTTAACAGCTCACACAAACACATTGTAATGCAGGGAATATATTGTTAATGTTTATATTAGGTGTGTAACCCCGCCTGGTGTCAACATGTATATGTTGTTGTTTTTTTATCAGGTTGTTTAATCAAATGTCCCCAGGTCAAAGTCAGTAAAAGTTGGTGGTTTGAAAATAACATTAATTTAATGTCTTTAACATTTAAAATAAAAAACATTGTAAAACTGAATTTTAAGATTAAAGGTACAAATATGCTTTTTTACAAATATACTTATTTTTCTGTTGTGTTCAAACGTTATGCTACTACTACTAAAGAAGATCATTTGAGTTATTCTGAGTACTATCATTATATTCTTCTTCATACATTTGATTTCATTACATTACATTTAAAAGGTGAATAATGTAATCCACAATATAATTGAACAGATGTCTGTACTTTTTTAAAGGATATTGACATTAATATATATGAAGTAAAAAGGTATACAAATATTCTCTAAACTAAATGCTACTTTCTCAATTGGGAATTATACTGTTTGCCTCTATTTCATTATTTGGAGTTTAAATGATGAATCAAGTTGATCAGAAAATGCATCTGCAACCATTTTTGTTAATTTACTTATTGTTTAAGGATTTGTGCATACAAAGAATACATATATCCTTTTGTTCCAGCTACTCCAATGTGAATATTTGCTGATTTGATTCAAAAGTATTGTAACAGCCTTGGTGTAATTTCATTCAGAGACATGAGTCTTTTGGGGTCCGTAGTGATGTTTATAGTCTATTTATTAATAATGGGATATACTCATGCTGTGTAAATCCTAATAGTCTCCATTCACAGACATTGAGTAGTCATTTAGCAAAAAACTGCCCTACACTCACCCAACTCTAGCTGCTAAAATATGATAAGTTGTTTTATCTTTCTGCATTGTGTCATTTTCACTAACAATCTATCTAAACACTATAAGACCAAGGTAATGTTCTTAATTGTATGATGCCCTATAGCCTTTGAGTCAGCTTTTTTATTTATCCTACACAGGGAGAAGAAATGGGTGACTGTTGGAGACACGTCCCTTCGCATCTTCAAGTGGGTGCCAGTGACGGAGCCCAAATCAGAGGATGTGAGTTCAGCCTCTTTAAGGGGTTATAATTTTCCTTTAAAGTGAACACACTATGTAACTTAATGTTTTCAGCAGGCGTGTTTGTAGGTTGTTATATTCCAGTAAATCATGGAAATTGCTTTTTTTTTTTATAACATATACTTTTTCCCTTTTTGTAGAAAAACAAAAACAAGAAGAAAGGTAAAGATGAGAAATACGGCTCAGAGCTGACGACTCCAGAGAACAGCTCTTCTCCAGGGATGATGGACATGCACGGTACGTAGTGAAAGCCTTAAAGGGCATGGATTTGCAGTGTCTTTTACTCACTCTTATTTAACAATGTTTAACAATCCTACAAAAACAACTAAATGTACTCCTCTCCGTCTTCTCTAGATGACAATAGCAACCAGAGCTCCATCGCTGACTCCTCCCCGGTGAAACAGGAGAACAGCTGTAGCACCAGCCCGACCCCGGAGCCCACCGCCACGTCTCACCGCGAGAGCAGCGAGATCAAGAGTGACCAGAGCCCAGACAGCAAGAGGGGTCAGTCACCCTCACACCTCCAACATCAACAAACATTTCATTTTCATCATTCTTTCTAACTCAACAGACAGGTGGTAGTGTGGCTGGTAGTGTGGCTGATCAGATGCATGATTAGCCACTTCCTGTTTTTGTTTTTCTGCTCTAATCTTCTAATGTCGGAACCAGAAACATCACGACTTGCTCTTATTTTAATACAAATTTAACAGAAAACTAGCAGGTTGTAATAAAAAATAAGCACTTTTTCTTTACTTTCTTTTTTAACAATTCGTCCAATCGTCTCAGCTCTAAATAAGATATCCAATATATTGTTTTTCAAATCTTTTTCACATCGTACATAATAAAAAGGCAGCAACATTTGCTGTCTGATTAACCTAAAATGATAAATATTTTATAATAAAATGTGTTAGTGGACTCTGTATTCCTCACACGCCCGATTATCATTCATTAAGGTTTCTATAACTCCTCTGAATAACAAAAAGCCATCACTTAGACGGATGAACCCATCTATGCAAAGAGGGGCTGCAACAGATGAATATAGGATATTAATGTGACTCAGAAAATAATACTTAAAATGCGCTCTTCACATTTCCAAAAGGCAACGGTGACTTCAAATTGCTTGTTTTGTTGAACGAGAAACTAATGAACTGCCATAAGAAAAACGGCAAATAGTTGTAGTTGAGAAAGTAAAAATAGCAGGTTTTAGGGGAATTTCTGCTTTAAAAAACGACTCGCGTGAAAAAATAAATCAGAATATTTGCTGATAATCTCTTTTTCTCTTCAGCTTTTAAATCTTAATGTTTCCAGTTTTGATCTTTACATCCTTGTTGTTAAACTAAACTGAACTGTTAGTCTGAAATGACTCCATGTCACCGTGCAGTTACTCCACACCACCACACTGTGTCATTAAAGGGTCAGGAACAAGCCGTCCCCAACACATCACCTACAACAACATTGTTCAGTCCTCCACTGCCAGATAAATAAATGCTCCCCTGTTCTAATTTGTGTATGTTTCTTTATTCCTCAGGTAAGACCACGTCTTCATCAGAGACCTCAGAGAGAGCACCGAGTGCTAAGAGAGACCTTCTGCCCTCGGGGGAGAAGGACTCTTCAGACAGCAAAGCCACTCAGGTACAAACACGTCCCCAAACTACTTTCAAAACTCATCAGTATCTGATTTCTTGAAGTTTCTACTAGAAATTATCATTATTATTATTATTATTACTACCATAAACCATATATCAATGGCAAATTACTATCTATCTTTTAAGAAACAAAACTGCTGCCTTATTTCCCGATGCTGTGAGCACCACAACATCTTTAAATCTAATGTTTTAGAAATTATTTTACTCCATTTTATTGGTTTTGTAGCAAAAATCACAGCAAATCAAACAAAGTCTCTCTGATTAATATTTTTCATGTTTATTTTATTTCATTTTCTGTTTTAGGACCTAGATGAGGACACCCCACCCAGCAAGAAAACCAAACTGGAGTCTTCGTCTCCAGACTTTGAGGAGAGTTAAATGTTTGGAGCTGAGTCATTCCTCTCCTCCCTCTGCCCCTCCCTCCATTACCTCTAGATAATTTAGGGCTAATGGACGCACCGGCTCTCCTCACCACCCCACCTCCCTTTCTCAAAACCGAAAGGAGAACAGACGTCTCTCTTCCCCTCCTCCTCCTCCAGTCTGCCCTAACACTCCTCTGCCACAGAGGGAGGATGGATATTACCTCTATTCGCTGGTCCCCCCTCCGTGCTTCCTTCCACACTTCTTCACTAATGCCAAGAGAAGCTCTGACCCCGGGCTGCAGACCCCTCTGTGACCCCCCGCCAGGCCAGCCCTCAAACACTGACCTGCATCTGTGACTGAAAAGAGTTAACACTGGGGATCTGAGATTAGGACGAGGTTGGTCCCAGGCGCTAATCTGAAACCGTTTTTAACACATTTTACTGCTAACGGTTAGCTCGGGATAGAGGCTAACTGGGTGTCGGATCAGCGGCTCCCGGGGGGAACCTCCACCCTAAGACCACGTCACTTCAATCCTCCCGATTCGCCTCCTGTTAGACTAATGTTCTATATTTGTTTAGGAAACGTTTAGGGTTTTTTTCTCAGGAGGGTCAATGCACTGTTATGGTATGTCACAATCGATCACAGATAGATTTGCTGCTGTAGTGGAAGTCTTTTTTCTCTATCCATGAAAAGTTCTCCATTCACATCTTTTTTAAGTTAGTTTGTGGTTTGTAGAAGGAGATGGTACTGGTCGAGATAAACTCTTGGATATGTAGTGAGCACAGGCATAGGTAGCGTAGATCATGAAGGTGTGCCTTGAGTTGCTACGATTTAAAAACACGCTTTAGGTCAAGCCGCTTTTGAATTACAATTTTGGTGCCATGTTTGGTTTTTTTGCCTTATAATTATCACTTATTAGTATAATCCAATATTTATAATCAACTGCAACACTTGTTTTTTTGTAATAATCACTTATCAAGAGTTCAATTCCACTCAGTATGTTAAATATAAAGCTGTTAGCTTAGCTTAGCATGAAGACTGGAAACAAAAGGAAACAACTAGCCTAATAGTTTGTAAACTCCTGTTTTTATACAGATTAAAAGTACAAGACCATAATGTTTAAATTAATGAGCTTTTAGAGGAATAAGCTTTTTGTCTTATGAGTATGAAAACAAAGAAGATATTTTCCAGATTATTATAAAGTTGGACTTTTTTACCTTCAATAAGAGTCAGACTATCTGTTTCCAGGCTGTGTGCTATGCTAAGCTAACTATGTTTGGACTGTGGCTTTATATTTTCTGCACAGTCATGAAAGTGTTTTTTCCCAAGATGTGGAACTATTCCTTTAAAACATTTGTAGACTGGAAATTGAACACTACCCAGAATCATTTACATTTGCCGTACATTTAAACATCTGCAAACCTCCTGAATCAGAGTCTCTGGTCTGTGTCTACATCAGGGGACGTTTTTCTTTCTTCCTCCAAAGTAGAGACAGACCAGTTTGTGGGACTGGTTTCCGTCTGTTCCACTATCATGACCTGTACTGACTCACTTCTCATCTCTGCGTATCGCTACTATCTCTGACAGAAGGGTCTTTAGCTCGAGCGTTGGTTTGTGATTCTCCTTACGGTGCTCTCTATCGACTGAATCCATACACGTGTGGCATCGAGCTCTCGGTTTTCGTGCAGATTTGTGCAATTTACTTGAACTTTATATTGACAAAAAAGCGGATTCAGACCTGTGACCTCGTAATGAACAACCTCACACATTAACTTTCATTAATATTTACTGAATATGGATTGAAATGAATTGAATCTCTGCAAACCAATGACTTCATGACATAACAGGGGCTATAAGAAGTACTTCATGATGCGGAATTACTTGATCAGATTTCAACAAATCAGCATTCACATGGATGGAGAGAAAAGAAAAAAAACAATTGTCTCAGTTTAGAGGATGGATTAGCATATACCTCATTCCCAGTCCAGCAGCGCTGGAACTTAAAATGCTATGTATTGACATTAACAGTTATAAACAGCATTATGTACACTCTGTTTAAAAAATCTCACCTATGTTGTAGCTTTCACCTGATTGAGCCGATTGCTTATAGTTTGCTCATAACTGTGTTTTAAAAAAACAAAGAAAAAAAGAGCTGTGATATAATATCTTGTATGTTGTTGTTTTCTTATCGGGACCAGTTTGTTTGACTTTAGATCTTGTACAGATTTATGGTTTGGTTTGACTTATTTATTCCATCAGTAGTGCTTGGTTTTTATCATGTCCAATGGTTTTGTTTTCTTAATAAAATTCACAAAAGTTTCTTGTGTTTGTGTTCAATGTTTGGAGGGAAGGGTTAGACCATTGGTAGCACTAGTTTAAGTATTATGTATATATATTTCTTTATTATAAAGGTTTAAATAATTGATTGACCTAAATCTAACACATCTTTGAAACGTATCCATCCTGTACAACTGTTGCATCTCACACAATCATTTTCAGGACTTTTGATACAAAGAACTTCAAATAAATGTGCTTTTAACTTAACAAATATATAAATGCAGGACTTTTACTTGTAGTTATTCTACATTGTGCCAATACTGCTTTAAAAAGATCTGAGAGTGTTTTCTGCTAGAGTGAAAAAACCACATGAGCACGAGCTTGTTTTTAAAGTTTTTCTATTGGACTGCTCAGGAGTATACAGAACATAGAAAACAGTGACATCTTACACCACGTCAACATCTGTAAAATAGTTTCCAAACCATTTCTAGATAGTGCCTGAAATAGTTACATATATAAAACATTACACTAATAATAATAATAATAATAATAATTAGACGCATCACTTATAAAGTACACAATGTTTTAAAGTCTATACAAATGTTGTTTTTCTCTCGCATTATACAACAGGGCAGAAAAATAAAATGTCGTACACATAAAAGCTTTCTTTTGTCTCATGGCACTGTGTACACATTTATCAGAAGGACACCTCTGATTAGTATTTACAAAGGTTAGTCACATGTATTAAAATACACTGTTACACGGGAAGATTCAATATGATCCAAATATTGTGCTTAAGAACAAGAGGAGTCAAATACAAGTCGCTACACAGGCTAAATTTAAAAATAATAGTTTGACATTTTCTGGGAAATATGTTCACTTTCTTAGGTAGTTGAAATGATTGATACAACTTTAATATCTGTCTATGAAAGGAGTTATCTACAGATATACCGTATTATTGCACTTATCAGACCGAGGATGGACTGTAAATACAGAAAGATTAAAATAAGCTGCAGCAGAACCAGCTTTCATTTTTCTCAAAATAAAATATTCCTCTTCCTCCTAAAAACTTGGCACCTACATTACCCACAATGCAACCAGACTACCAACTAACAGATTCATGTGACATGTTGACCCGTGTTAAAAAGAATGCTGCTTAGTATTAATTCATACAAGGAACGGCGAGGAACATTTAAATATCTGGTTGTTAATTAAGTCTGTTGTTTTGTTTTCTTCCCATTTACAACTTTAACCTCATGTTTAAAACTGCGACCATAATCAGGGAGGCAATATCATTTCCTCAAAATGTACTAAAAATGCAGTTTAGATTTATGGGAACACCATTCTGTGGGAAAACTGTTTTTTACCTGGAGACACTAGAAGCTTTTCAGTACTTTTCTTTACTCCCCAACACCTCGATACAGACTTTAGGTGTCACATTGTTGCAGTTACCCTGTAAATACAGTATAAGACTACATCTGCCTTTCAGCACCTCTCATTTTAACATCTTGATTAGTTAACCTGTAGAAAAACCAGTGTCTAAAAAACGTTTACACACTTTGTGCTAAGCTAAGCTAACCTGCCTTAACTTGGTTCATATTTGTCATACAGACAGAGTAGTGTCGATCATCCCATCTAACTCTCCACCAGAAAGCAAATAGGTGTATTTCCAAAAGATGTCAAACCAGTTAAAAGAGGGCAGTATGAAATGGGACAGAATAATCTGTACTGACTCTTAAAATAAATTCACTTTTGTTTAGAATCAAAGTGAAAGCGCTGTTTGTTTCGGCTGAATCTTTAAAGTGGACAGTGCAAAAAAACGAAGTTAGTGTAGAGGCTTCTATAGTTTTATCTGGTTAGTTTTCATTCTGTAACATGAGGCGTTTGCATTTCAGAAGCCCGCCTAGTGGTCCTAGTTCAGACTTTACACTTGAATCAGTGCTAGCTTATGTCCCTGTAGGAATGTCACTGGTTAGCCAAACATCAGACAATAAATAACAAAATGCAACAACGTCATCATCAACGAAACCTCTGGAGCTCTCAGTGGCATTAATCGAGAATATTAACCTGAATGAGTATCTGTGGAAATGAGACAACACAAACAGAGACAAAACCAATCTATCTAATCAAGTGGTTCATTTTGTGTATGCACATGTAGATGAACTTTAAAACTCAAAATCTACACCATTATAGACCAGACGTCCTTAAAGTGCTTTGAATTTATTTTACTTTAACACCCAAAATTCCTGGTGCAGGCTGATGAAGATATTAATAGTGAGATGGTTTTGTCCAAACATAAATCTGTGACTTCATACAAAATGTAAACGAGTAAACTGACCTTCATGTGTAAAATCTGTCCCTTTAAGTCAAGGTGTACTTAATTAGTTTGTTGTCTTTGTTTGCATCTCATGGCGTTCACTGAGAAACCTTGGAAGCTACAATTTCCAACGTCAAGACTGACATTTACTCAAAGTATTAGAGGTTTTACATAGATGAATATTTAGGTTGATAATGACTGAGTAATAGGGCCACTAAAAATACAAAAGAATATCAAATAAAGAAAAAGCCACAATCAGTTATATTATACAGTCATAATATTTAAACAATAAGACAGGTGTCTATTCAAAATCTTTTGAGTATAAAGCTTTAATAATTTGTCGGAAAATATTTGGAAATAACAATTTTTTTCAAATAATTAATGGGATTAGATTTGATGACTTAGTGTATAATTCTGCTTTTTTCTCAGAACATTATGCCTCATTTCTTTAGAATGTTAGATTATATTTTTCCTGGACCTTATATTTTGTTTTAGGTGGATATGCTGGAAGAAGCACTTTGCAAAAATATTAGTAAATATTATAAAATTAGTAAAAAGTTAAACATGGCAGTATCTGTCTGATTTTTGCAGCCGTATAGACTTGAGGAATGTGTTACTTAAGACAGTAATGTAGAGGTGCTTCGTGTTCCCTTATTTAAACTGTGCTTAATCAAGTTGCATCATTTTCTGCTAAATATCAAATAAAGCCTAAAAAACAACACTTTTAGAAACAAATTTAAATGCAAAACAGCACGATAAAAACGTTGAGTGCAGAGGACGGATTCCTTTTTGTTAGAAACATCAATATTGCGCAGCATATTTGGACGAGCGTTGTGCATTACAGTTTATCTTCAGAGAAAAGCTGCAGAGTAGAGATTCAGAGCAGGACAGTGGCTACCAGTGATATGCATAAATACAGTAGAAAAATACAATATGGAAAAGATCTGACGGGAATTAAGCAGGAGGATGAAAAGGTGAGTTTAGGAGGAAAAGGAAGGAATTTAAATGCCGGTAAATATCTGTTGGAGCTACTAGAAGGTCTGATCATCGTTGCAGGACTCGGTGGCGTGTCCGAAGGCCTCGCAGAAGTCGCAGTACGGCCTCTCGTCGGCCGGGTTGCCTCGGTAGGTGGTGTGGGGCAACGAGTCGGGGCTCTGGGCCTGGGTGGGGCAGTCCTCCGTGTCGTGGAGGTCAAAGGAGTCGCAGATATCGCAGAACAGACGCGGAGTCGCCTTCTTTTCCCGCTTTGACTCACCGTCATCAAACCTGCGGCAGAGAAAAGAGTCATGTGTATGATTTATCTTCTTCCTCTCCTTCCATCATAGCCACACTGTTTCACTGGATGACCTGTACATACTTCAGTAGCATGAACACACACAATGTAGTTTATTTGAACTCAATCCCACATATAGTACACCATCCCTCCGTAACAAAGAGTACCAAATATGGATTCATCCGCAGATAGAAATAGTCCCCAAGAAATACAATATTTCCCGTTTGTTTGATAAAAAACTACAGTAACCAGGGTTCAGATGTTTGTTTAATGACTTGAAAGGAAATCAAAAGTGTAAAAATCACAATATTTCTGCACATAAAGCCTTTAATGGGTTACATAATTAACTTTAGGGGTGCTTGTATGCATATTTTGTAGGACAAAACCACTGTCTGTCCTTGTTTCCAGCCTTTACGCTAAGCTAAGCTAACTTTGCCTGGCTGTAACTTCATGTTTAACAGACAGACATGAGTGGTATCAATTTTCTCATCGAAAGTAAATAAATATTGTTCCCAAAACATCAAACCTTTCATTTAAGCAAAGTGTGGTTAGGGAGGTAAGGCTTCTGCTTATGACTTTTTTTCATTTTCTTTAATCAGCCAATCACTTTCTCAATGACTTGTTATGATTGTAGCAAGTTTGCAATAACATAAGAACACAGAGAAGCTTCATTTGATATAATTGATATATCCCTTACTTATCAGTGTCGTCGTTGCCGTTGAACTCAGCCAGAGCGAGCTTCTTCAGTTTGATCTTCAGCTCCTCGTTCTTCCGCTGCAGATCCACGATCACACTGTTCAGGAAGTTTATCTGATGGGAGACGAAGCGAGACACAGATCACCTTCAAGTGGGCACAGATAAAAGCTGAGAACATACATTTTTGTTATCTTCTCCATCTGTCTTTGTTTGGCCTTTCAAACCCTTTAAAAATCCCACCTTTGTAAGAATTTCTTTTCGTCCTGACAGTCTTACCTGCCCCTCGGCGAACTCCTTCTCCTCCCTCAGCTGCTCCAGTGCTGCGTCGCCTGCAGGAGCATCAGAAAACAGGTTGACAAAAACTAAAATATCCTCACCAGAACAGAGTTCATGTTTTATCCTCCTCTCCTCACCTGAGGGTGGAGCCTCCCAGTCTTCTCCCTCTGAGGCCTGTGATCCCATGAGCCTTTGCTCCAGACTGTGGACTCGGCTCTGCAGCTGAGCTTTGTCTCTCTCCAGCGTCTCCACGGCCGAATGCAGCGTCTTGGCCATGGCGTTTTCTCCTCGAAGTACGGCGATCTGCAGCAACACAGAAAAATATGAAACCCTCATCGAGCTGAGAAAAGAGTGAAGTTTCTAAAGAATTTGTAAAGGTCACGTGTGAATACCTCGTTCCTCAGAGTTTCCAGTTCCCGGTCTTTGTCTGAGATTAAGGCTCCAGTGGTTTTCTGGAAGTTCATTTCACCATCCGTTTCT